TGTCGCTTGGACTGCTGCTCGCTAGTGGAGCTCCCCCAATCAGCTCCCCTTCAGCTCTGCTCTCCTGCCATGCAACAGGATGGTAGCTGCAGTATTAGCTTTTCTTGAGTACAGTGAAATACCTGGAGGAGGGAACTTCATAAAGTGGACAAGTTTGTGTAACTCAAAGCTGTGGAGCTTCAATGCTGAGGTCCCGTGGTTCTCGAGTTCTGATGGATGACTGTGGTGCATGTGTGAGAAAATCACGTGGCGAGCCAAGAATTAGGACACATGTGCCTGTCTGTAGCCTTAATGAAGTCTGGAGGGTTTAATGGTAGGGCCCTACCCTAATAACTTAACCTTCAGACCACAACCAGAAGGCCTCACCTCCAAAACTTGTAATTGAATGAAGTTCGTACCCTCTTGGCAACATTAACCTGTCTTTGGAGACTAACCTTTAACATCCAAACAAATATCCAAAGCATAACCATGGCTTAGACACCTTTGAAGGTAAAGTGATCTAATGCCTGCAAGTTTTTACGGATTTATTTTTAGAGAGCATGAAGTATTATAAGCCTGCAGTAAATAATTTTATGTTTATGTGATATGACTGATTTCAAAGACATTCAAGTAATAGTCATTGTAAAACAAACTGCAGAGACAGGCATGACAGTGAGGAGAGGGGGATTAAACTGCTTGGGAGGTTTACAACCTGTAACTGGAGTGTGGATTGGAACATGTGGATTTGAGTCCTGTCTCTGCTTCTGACCTGGCTGCCTTAGGTGGCAGCAGAAGAAAGCTCAAGCATTTCAAGTACTTGGGCACCTGCTTCCCCCCCCCCCCACCTCATGAAAGGTCCAAATGGAGTTCCTTAAACCTGCCTCAGCCCTGATTGTTAGTCATTTGGGTAGCAACCCAACACATGCAAACTTGATTCCTGTGTTGGTCTCTGCCACTCTGCCTTTAAAATCCATTTTAAAAAAAAGTAATTGAAGGGCCTAGCATAACAGCGTAGTGGTTAAAGTCCTCACCTTGAACGTGCCAGAATCCCTTATGGGCACCAGTTCTAGTCCCGGCGGCCCTGCTCCCCATTCAGCTCCCTACCTGTGGCCTGGGAGAGCAGTCGAGGTCAGCCCAAAACTTTGGTACCCTGCACCCGGAAGAAGCTCCTGACTCTTGGCTCCTGGCTTCAGATTGGCTCAGCTCCACTGTTGCGGCCGCTTGAGAAATGAACCATTAGACAGAAGATCTTCCTCTCTGTCTCTCCTCCTCTCTATATATCTGCCTTTTCAATAAAAATAAATAAATATTTTTAAAAAAGTAATTGAAAACTTGAAACATTCGGATTAAAAGAACATGGAAAGCAGCCTGATACCATTACTGACAAATGACCTCGGGCTTCCCATACACATGTTTTCCATTTAGTTCCAATGGCACTTAGCACCTGCAAAACCCAACTTGAAATCCTGTGTGTCAGCACTTCTGTAAAATAACACGTTGCATGCCATTCAAGAAGAAAGCCCTAGCAGAGATGATCCTCCTTTGAAAAAATTGGAACCCTACTGCACAATTAGCCCATTGCATACCTAACTCCTCCATGAATTGCTTGGGTCTCTTGTCCCTTTTTGCAAAAAAAAAAAAAAGAAAAAAGAAAAAAGAAAAAAAAATGATACTTATTCTTTTACCCTTTACATTGTAAGGGTTGGTACCTATGTGTAATGTCTTTTTCCTGAAATGTGATAAAGTGTCTATCGCCTTGACTTTGAAAATAATTTTGACCTAGTTAGGCCATTTAGAATTTCAGAGAATGCCTTGATTCACAATGCTCATGATTAACCGATAGCACTTTTTCTGTTCCAGAAAGGTTAAATCACTGGGGAGAGCAGAGTCAAAAACCAAATGGTTTTATTTTCTATATCCTTGTTGGCGAAAAATGATGTATAGGATTTCTCTGTGGAATATGCATTAATGTTCCAAAGTTCTAGCCTGGCTGCTCCTGCTGTATTTCTGCTGCCTCTTCATTTTGTAGCCTGAGGCTGGCTCGCTGAAAAGATGAGTTCATGTCTGAGGAATTGTGCCTTCAATCGGAGATTATTGCAGTAATGATGCTGCACCTCGATCGATTGCTAAGTGCAAGTTGCCATGAACTTGTACACTTCTCAATTCTCGGCCTTATTGTGGTGAAGTTACTGTACTTTTAGGCTGTTACTGTACTTTTAGGTCCCTTCCCTGGCAGATGACTGGAGACAGAGCATGCCCAGGCCAGAGGAGGAGAGATGGGAGTAGATAGTTAAATGGGGGACTCTCTTGTGCTACCTCCAGAAAAGGAGCTACTCAGAACAATTACGTGATGGAAAACTAATAAGGATAAATCTGTCATAATGCAAAAAAAATTTTTTGAAACCTATGCATAGTTTTATTTTTCCATAATATATCCTTTTCCATTAATTTGTAAAGACTTTGTGATGGCATGAATTTGCATTTTTTTCACTCAAATTGACACATCTTTTAATTACCATGAACTTTGCCAGATGATTCCAGGTTAGCCAGGTGGTGGGCTCACTCTGAGGGCTTATTTATTCGCTGCATAATGTACCAGTGCAAGGAGTTTGTGCAAAAGCCTTGAACGAATCAGACTGGAATCACCGAGTTTAAGGGGTTGAGTTACGAGCTGAGAGCCAGATTCTCCCTTAGTGTTATTAGTGATGCTTCTAGGAAAATGCTCATCTGAGGCTACTTGCTTCCATACTCCAAGTGCTAGCTGATGGCCAGGTCTGGTCATCCTCTGAGGGTTTCAGAAAGAAAGGCTTTGTTTTTGTCTGCCCTCCAGTCCCCCACCCCTAGGGGTAATTGGTTTACATACAATTGAATTATCCTGTTAACCAGTTATCCTATCATTCTGTACCAAAACAACCTCCCGCACCGCCCTCTCCTTCTGTGTTAAGTTATCCATAATTGATTTTTCTGCTGTGGTGCATGCATGGGTAACTCTGAAATTTCTTGCTAAAAGCTCAATTGGACTGGCTCTATTTTCCATATTTACAAGGAGGCCCTTGGAGCCTTGCAAAGTGGTAGCCAGCAATTAGGAGTCAGAAGATAAACGAAGATAAATGAAAATAAACGCTCAGCTTCGGAGAATTACAGTCCTGAGGAATCCCCAGGGAAGTTGTGTTTTCCACAACTGCCTTAGATTCTGTTTTCATCAGTGTGTGTTGTGAAAGACTTGTGGGAACAGACAACCAGGAAAGACTGTAAATTGCATTGTCAGTATCTGGGTTCAGGAATACCTGCTATTCATGAGAATTTTATTTCAATTTTGATGGATTGCTACTGTAATGGCTTCAGACCAGATTTCTTTGACCTCTGTGCATTGCTTGTTCATCCCACCCACTTTTTGGATTTGTTTCTTTTTAAATGGAAGGTCTCACATCAAGACTGCGTCTGCCTGAAAGCTTCAGATTGAGACCATTTACAAAAACATTAATCGGGGCTAAATCATTCAATTTGACCTTGGAATGCAAGACACAAATCTGTATAGTTCTGCTGCAGCCAGCCAAACCTTGGTCCCTTGCAGGTGTCTTTTCTGATACTTTGCACATTCATTGTGATCCAGATAGTGTCCTATGTGGCCAAGAGGTTTTGAGGTCCCAGGAATAAAGACATGGATCTCCATGGCAAGTTAGTGCATTCTGTATTGATCAGTAAGTCATTTCAGCTTTCCTTGCAGAGGGTCATTGAAGTCTCCAAAGTCATTCCCAGATAATGGTGAGTGACTCCCTCCCCTCCTCACTCCAGAGAAGACTGTGGAGCTTTTCCCATCAAGGGTTTCTGCCCTCCCCCAAGCTCAGCTGCCCTCCGCTCATTGCTTTCAGCTCCTTTGCAGCAGCAGATGGCTTTATGCAAATCAGGCTGATTATTTTTAACCATAGTAAAATCCACATTGTGTTATGAGTACTTTGTAGATGGATACAACTGGCATGTTTCTTTGAACACTCACTTAGATCTAGAGAGCAAAGCTTGGCCTGACTCTGCTCTGCCGCTGGAGGCAGAATATGTGGTCACTCACAGTCCTGCTGCCATAGAGGTATCACTGCCACCACCTCTGGGATGTCCTGCACTTGGTTAAACTGTATAAGTTCATCTGGTCAGGCAAAAATATTTTCAGTGACTGTTAGCTATATTGAATTATGACATTGCATATTAGTAAATAGTTAATCATGCTACCTTAAAACTTGGGCTTGTTACACAAAAAAAGTTAGGCATTAGTGCTATTCATTCTTATTTTTTCCTTTACTGATCTCCTTTGATAACCCCTGTAGTAATTCCTGTGAAGTCAGACCCTTTTTCATCTTCTGTTTCTTCCGTCCCCCCAACACTCTAGACCTTTGGAAACTTGTCAGCTCTTTCCATCTCCATCCTCCAGAATGGTCTGCCCAAATTGTAAGGGCTATTTTCTACCTTTTATCTTTCTCCAGTAGGATTTACCACCTTATTTTTAAAAGGCCAGAAAATAAGAGAAAGCCTTGACTGGTTCATCTTAAACTCAGTTTCATTCCACAATCTGTTATCAGTGATTGAAGTCTGTGGCTAAGATGCCATCCTTGTTTTCCTCCCTCCTCGTTGTGTCATAGCAGAGAACAAGTCATCGCAGTCCACCTACTACCCAGCCACTCAGGGACCTTTACTTGTGCATTGATTTTCAGTAGTATTCAAGTTTATTTTTGCTTGTCTTTGTCTGGAAGTATGAGGATGAAATAGTTAAGGAGGGAACCCTCACTGTAAAGTACCTGGAGGGGAGACGAGTGTGTGGGACGATGCTGTGTTTCTTGTGTCCCTTCATGGTTATTGGACAGGGTATCTGAATCTGGAATTCAGAATCTGAAAGCCTGAGGATGTGGCTCTTCACCATAGCCCATGGTTATAGAAGGCTCCTAGTGAACTGCCATTCCGTGGCTTGTCATTCTGTCACTTCAATCATAGAAGAACCAGCATGCTTAGTGTCCCTGATTTGTGTTTTTCAGGTTGAAAATTGGTGTCCTCATTTACCTTGGAGAGCAAAAAATCCCTATGAAGAAGCTGATCATAATTCATTGGTGAGTGACTTAGAAAGGTTGTTCCTTTGCAGTTGGGTCAGCTCAAGTGGTACTGAACTTGCAGATTTCTGGCACCGGTCCTGGCAGTTCAAGTGATGAAGAGAGTCAACTGTGGGGCATATGTTTATTTGAGCACTTCTCACAGGGTTGCAACTGGTAAGATACTGATAAGAATAGGACTCAATGTGAGGTATAACCCAGTGAGGGGTGCAATTGTAAATAGAGACCATGTCTGTCTCATACTGTCATGCCCACCAGTGTAAATTCATGGGGAAGAGTAGTCTCAGGCTTTGGGAGTCAGAGTGAATTGCATACAAAGGAATAGAACTGGAACTGGATTTAAAATAATGAATGAGTTGATGGAGAGTCAAGAAAAAGGAGGATGCTCCTGGTTCAGGGAAGGGTGTGGCTTGATGGGTCAACATTGGAAGAGAATGAGTGCTTTGGTTTGAAGGTTAGATCAGAAAGTTAGGCAGAAGGCATTGAAAGCTTTGTTCACTGCTTTGAATGCTTAAGTCTTTATTCTTGGGCCAAGGATTAGCAAACCTTTTCTCCAGATACTAACTCATTCCATCCTCCTGGCAGGCCAGAAAGTCTGTAGCACGGCTTTCAACTTGGCCATTTCAGCAGCTGGAGACAGTACATAAATGAAGATATGTGGCTCTGTGCCAATAGAACTTGATGCACAAATAGGCACTCGGGAGGCTGTGGCCCAAGGGTTGTAGGTTGCTGACACTAGCTCTTAACTGGGTTTCAGGGAATGTTGACCAGTGCTGGAGCGAGGTGAGTTTTCAGAACAACCTGTGGTGATTTTTACATTCAATGCGTTTAAGAAGTTCTAAAAAGCAAATAGTACTGTTATCAGGTTTCTTAGTTATTTGTGTCATTACATGTATACCAGCATGTTCTGAAAAATATTCTGCATGTTCTTTCAATTCTTCTGGTTTGTATTTAAATTGTGTTCAGCTGTGGTGGAAAGCCAGTATTCCTGCCTTTAACTTCATTAGCAAATACCAAGTTTTTGTTTGGAACAGAACTAAAAGATGAGCCTTTATTTCTATATTTAACTCTGTGAACAGAAAGAGACTTACTGGCGACCTGCAGGATGTCTGGTATCCCATTTAGAATTGATTTCAGTTTTCCCAGGAGTCGCATGCCTGGCCACAGAGCCAAGTGGCACCATAAATTTGGGCCCAGAGAATTTCAAGGTACATCAAGCACACTGATCGTAAAAAATTGAACTTGAACGTAGCTCAAGGCTCTATGGTGACTGTTCTGCCTCTCTCGGTTTCTAATTTTTTTAATGATGTCCCTTGCAGCAAGGCAGCCGTCTGGAGTGCCTGCTTTCATTTGCAGCATGGGAACCTAGAAAGGAAAGCTATAATGTTGACGGGACTCGCTCTTGAAGCCCTGGATTTAATTGACAACCTCTTTCAAGTTTTCAAATGTCACATCATGAAAACCATTACGCTTTTTTATCTCCTATTCATTTTATTAAATTTTGGTTTCTAGGCAGAAATTCGGACAGATTTTAATATTCTCTACAGTATGATGAAAAAGCATGAAGAATTCCGGTGGATGAGACTGCGGATCCGACGGATGGCTGACGCATGGATCCAAGCAATCAGGTCACTGGCAGAAAAACAGAATCTTGAAAAACGAAAGCGGAAGAAAGTAGGTTCCTTGCTAATTCAGTTCAGTGAGATACCGATTTGCTTTGAAAATGTGGTTTTACTTGAAAACAAGACTGAGAGAAATGTTGGCTCTCCAGTAGTGTTCATTCTGTTGAACCTGTTCATTCTATTGCAGTTGGACTTTGGTTTTCTGTCTGCAGTTAGAGTAGTCTTTCTTAGCAGGTGCCTATGCACCTTTCTGGGGTGATGCTAAGCGAGCCATTGGCCTGTGAGATTTTCATTTGACCCACCTAGCTTTCTCCATCAGACTATTAGGAATCTTATTTATCTGAGTCCAGCCTTCTAGGACTTTCTATGACAGCATTATGACAAGTACAGATTTTTGTTTGTCAGTCTTGGACTTTGGGGCAACCATGGCATTCCATTATTGACTGTGTCTGGTTGGTGATCTTTGTTACACTGTCAGGAGAGATGCTGTATTAAACTTGAACCATCTTCTTTTAAATTCATGAAGAGGTGCTTGAAAAAATCTCCAGAATACCCCCCAGGTTGACAGGATCTTAAGATTTTAAACCTTGTTATGAAGAAAGTGATGTGATTTTAGGTGAACTGTTCTGATGTCACAAGTGAACAAAGTGAAGGATTTGTTCCTTCTATATTTTAACTCTACTCTTCAACAAACTTTATAACGTCCCTCATAAAAATAGACTTGTTGTCATAGTCTGAGTCAGTTTTGTCCCTGTTTGAAACAGCAATACTAAACATTTTCATATCAAATTGTTGTTCCATGGAAGAGTCTGTGCTCCTTTGGGGTAGGTGGACTGTGAAAGGAAATGTTCCAAAGTCTGCATAATCCAGTGGAGTCTTCTATTAGATTAAAACAAATCAGTTCAAGATTAGTGTGCATAACTTTAAAAAAATTTTTTTGGTGTGTATTACATTTAAAAGAGAAATTTGTATCTGTATATATGTGTAGTTACCTATGTAGGCTCGCAATATAAGTAAGATAAATTTTTCTTATTCCTGTTTTTTTTTTTTTAATTGGAAGGTAAAACATAAAATTAAAAACAAAGGAGAGGGATGGTGGTGATGGGTGACAGTGTGAGTGTACTTAATGCTACTGAGCTGTGCTCTGGAAATGCTTTTATTCTGTGTGCATCTTATGACAATTATTAAAGCTGCTCGAGTAGAAGTGTGCAGCATGGAGACACGAACTATGGACTCTCGGTTTCTCTGAAACCATCTGACTTAGCGTCTTACTTAACTGTTTTACCAGAGCAATTAAAAATGTAGTTGATTAACAACAACAGCAAATAAAAAGCACAAAGAAAGGAAACCAATAATCCCGTTCTATGCCCATCCATGTCAGACATGAGCACACAGACAGCATCCCACTTCTTGACTGAGAACACAAAATGCAACATTACTGATGGGAGAGCATGCAAAGTAGGAAGAGCTATACAACTGGCTGACTTGAGCAATCATGCAAATTGCCACAGCCTTCATATTCCCAAGCAAATGAATCATGACTTTGTAGTGTCTTTGAGAAGGGAGATTTTCACTGTATGAGACTTAGAAATAACAAGAGAAAGGTATGCGAAAACACTGATTCTGAACTCGCATTGGAGGTGTCAGGATGAACTCATGATTTCTATTAGCTTTGAGGAAGAATAAATTTCCTAGCACTGGCCACTCAGGGGGCCTCCGTGGACTGTTCTAATGAGGGTCTCTGAACTCCAGGCTCTGATGGCTAGATGCCGCCTCCACTAGGTAGCACCAGGGGTTCTTAGGAAAACGGCTCATTGGCTGAGGCACGAGGAAAATAGGATGAGATTTTAGGTAGCCAGCTTACCTTAAACGTGGGAAGCTAGCGGAGGAAGGCTAGGATTGTGTCCAAAGAACACAAAGTCAGAGCCAGTTTAAGTAGTCTCTAGGATGATTTTGTAATCGATGAGGCTAATCACTGAAACTTGTTGAAACGCAGAAAATAAACTTATATCCATGATTTGATGTCTTTAATTAAAGATCATGCATCATCATTAGGGTACATTAGACAACAATTTCGTTCTCATAAAAAAATGCTAAATAAAAATGCTTGAGTTTTTACCAGGGTAATTTTCTGTAAAACCTTCCCTCAGGGTGACGCTATGGTCAGTGAGGGGAAGGTTGCCTTTACTGAAGTGTTCTTAGCTAAGAAATGAAGTAGGGGTCTTCGAATATCAGTTTTCACAACCCCTAACGGATTAGTAGATCGGGTTAGTGGTCCTCAGAGGCTGCTAATGCCCTAAAATGCACCAGATGTGTTCCCACAGCAGCACTTAAGCTGTTAGCACCCAAGACCCTGAGAGCTGGAATTCAGTCACGTGTGCAGATGATGATTATTTTGAAGTATTAATGAGTTATTAATAAATGCCAGGAATTGAAAACCTGTTACACAACTTCTTGGGGTTATAATCAGCAAAGTCTAGAATGTGGGAGACAGAACTGGAACTACAGCCCAGTGTCAGATGAATTCCAGTGTCTTTTAGGAAAAAGAGAAGTGGTGGGGGAGCGGGGCAGTGTATCTTAAAGAGGACGCTGAGAGGGAATGACAATGGATGTGCCTGGGCTTCTGAATGCAATAACCGCTTCAGACATTAAGAGACAATTGAGGAAGTGTTAACGCTAAGTGGATGTTGGATGATATTAAGGAGTTGGCTTCTCTAGGGAAAAGAGTGGTGTGTTGGCTGTTGTTTTTTTTTTTTTGGCTCACCACTGGTTTTGTTTTAGAGAAATGTGTTAAAATACCTACAGAGACAGGTTGTGATGTTGTGATGTCTAGGATATACTTCAGGATCTAAACAGCTGGGAGAGAATGAGAGGTGTAGAATAAGATCCCAGTGGTGAGGTTGTTGAAGCTGTGTGATCAACACATGGGGATTCTCTCTATCATGTTGTCTGCTTTGTTCTGTGCTGTGGAAATCTGCCATAGTAGAAGGTTAGAAATACTCTGTAGAGAAAAAAGCAGTATTTTTTAAAAAATAAGTTATATTGCCTTGGTTGACTTTCATTTCATTCTAAATATATACATATTTAGATACATATATCTATATGTGTATTATATATATGTATTTTTATATTATATATATATCCTGAATATTGATACTGTGAATATATATATACCCTGAATACACACACATACACCCTGAATATTAAAACAGTACTAACTCATGATACTTAATGTTCATGACTGTATACAAAATGCAGTAATGGTGTTATTTCTCTAAAACAACAGCAAATAATTGTTTTCTTCCCAGGATGGGCATTTGGACTAGTACTTAAGAAACTAGTCAAGGTGCCAACCTCTCTACAAGAGAGGCTGCAACTTTGAGTCCTATTTCTCTTCCTGCTAATAGATAGCCTGGGAAGCAGTGGGTGATGTGTTAAGTATTGGGGTTTCTGTAAACCATGTGGAAGACTCAGATCTTGACTCCTGGTATTGGCATGACCATTTAGGGGGTGATTTAGCAGATGGGAATTGGCTTTCTCTGTGTCTTTGTCTTTGACAATGAAAGAAATATTAGAAACAAATTCTTTGAATGATCTGCTTCCCTCTTTGTACCTTTTAGAAAAGCAATGTATCCTACCTTGACTTCTGTTGGAGTTTAAACATGACTTTGGGATCAGTTGATGACTGTAGGGTGTGTTACTGTGAAGCTTGTGCATGGTTGCATGTGGATGAGAATATGCCTCTTTGTTTTGCAGGTCCTGGTTCATCTGGGCCTCCTGACTAAGGAATCTGGATTTAAGATCGCAGAGACAGCGTTCAGCGGTGGCCCTCTTGGTGAATTAGTTCAGTGGAGTGATTTAATTACATCTCTGTACTTACTGGGCCATGACGTTAGGATTTCAGCTTCGCTGGCTGAGCTCAAGGAGTAAGGAGATTATTTTTCAATTTTAAAGTCAGAATACAAAAAAGAAATTGTAAACTCTTAAAGCCCTCTATTAGTGTGTAATTTCTTGTGGAGGAAAATGAAAGTGATAATTCACTAAACAGGAGATAAGGAGATTATTTTCAGGAACTAAATACATGCACTGTGAAAAGGATAATATGTTTTCATTGTAGCTGCGGGCTCCGGAGGCTTCATAAATGAATGCCAGAAAATTCAAACTAAGGAGCTTATTCCTGGCTCTTACAGGTGCTTCAACATCTGCGGCACAACACATTATTGACTTTCCTAATTCCCTATCTCTTGGTGAAATTCCTACTGTTCCCCACTCAATATCATGCTCTCCAAGTCTGAAAACAGGGCAGGTTCCTGTTTATAATTTAATTTGGATAGAAATGAGTTTCCTAAAGGCCTTGATCCAATCCCTTTTCAATTAGCCAACTTCTAGCTCCAAGTCTGTTACCTCAGCTTGGGTTTTGTATGGCACTGAAATTCACATCTCACTGCAGCTTTCTAATCCCACTCAGATGGACACAGCTGGCTGAGCAGGACCTCTTAGCTCTCCTGCACTGTGGATTACTGCCCATGGAGACTTGTTACCCAATAGCTGGGTTACTGTGTAGCCATATGTCAAACATTTCCGGAAAAACATACCCTGACTGAACATTCTGGAATTGAGAGGAGTATTCAAACCACATGTATCCCACCCTGCTCCTATTTTATTGTGCAGGCCCAGAGAGCCCACATGTGAAAGTTTCAGGATCCTCATCTGCTGGGCCATGATGTGTTGAGAAAAAAAACAGTAAAGTCATTAAGATAACATCAGTCATTATTTGCTAATGATTTTCTGGTGCCAGGTACCATAATATAGGCCATCAATAAAGTTCCAGCAGTACTAGCCACCAAATAAACCGCAGTATTAGCAACACTGTGACCACCATAATGTTGGGAACGACTTAATGGTTACCATTGTTGACTACTTAACTGCTTCCCAGATGCTAAGCGCTTAAGATTTTTTCTGGTATTGGACCCCTGACACCTCAGAGTCAGTACTGTGGCTGTCAGCATTTTAAAGGCGAAACTTGAATTCACACCAGAAATAAATGGTTGACTGGTTGACAGTAACACGGGTGATGCACAGGAGCACCAGGATTTGAACTCTGCGCTCCCTTGACTTGTGAGCCTCGATTACTACCCCCATCTGTGTTGCTCCCTCCAGGGCCAAAGTCTCAAGAACACTTCACCAGCACTCCAGCCTTTTAACAGGCTGCTACCTCCTGCCCTTGTCCTGCTTGTTTTTTTTTTTTTTTAAAGATTTATTTTTATTATTTTTTCATTGGAAAGGCGGATATACAGAGAGGAGAGACAGAGAGGAAGATCTTCCGTCCGATGATTCACTCCCCAAGTGAGCGCAACGGGCCGATACTATGCCGATCCGAAGCCAGGAGCCTCTTCCGGGTCTCCCACGCGGGTGCAGGTTCCCAAAGCTTTGGGCCGTCCTCGACTGCTTTCCCAGGCCATAAGCAGGGAGCTGGAAGGGAAGCTGGGCTGCCGGGATTAGAACCGGCGCCCATATGGGATCCCGGGCGTGCTAGGTGAGGACCTTAACCACTTGCGCCACCGCGCCGGGCCCTGTCCTGCTTGTTTTAAGACTCAGAGTGGGCAGGCAGCTCAGAAGGAAGATACAGTGCTAGGCTTTGCATCCACTCCTTCAGCACCTTCCGCGGCCTGACGTTTAGTACAGGACTTACGGAAATGACGAACATGTGGGTCAAGTGACTGCCTGTCTTTTAAACATGACAACTGGTATTTGAAGGTGTGATGCCAATTGTAATTCTGTTGGTGCTAATTGTGGTATAGATGCTGGAATATAAATACAGAAGTACAAAACTGCAAATTACTCACTGCTGTGTGTCTGCCACATAGGACATACAGCATATGGGTGCTTATCCAACTGATAATGAAATGAATAAATGAATTGGTGAAGGAATAAGTGGTTGTGGGAACAAATGGGGTTACTGTGGCGGTCTTGGGGACGAATATTGAGTTGGGAGGCCAGGCAAGGCATGGAAGGGATCTAGTGGACAGACCCTTCAATCATCTGTGAGGGTCTGAATACATAGGATTGACAGTGACCCCCCAAAGATGCTTGCATGGTAGAATTGCCTGGGAGTCCTTTTTAATTAAGTTTGGGGGAATGTGTGAATTGTAAAGCACACTCCATAGCCCTGGACAGGGAAAGCACACCCTCTGAACTAGCACACAGTCCTTAAAGTTTTGATGTCCTAGGAATGACAAAATGTAAGTACATCTACCAAAAAGAGGGTGGACTCGGCAAACGTGGCTTGGCAGGCCAAGTCCAGCCTCCTGGCTGTTAGTGAACATGCACTTTGAGGGATGCACAGCCTCAGTCCTGGGTTCTTGCCTTGCCTGTTCTCATCTGCTGTGGCACCGTTCAATGGTTGTCACCCAGAAAGCATGGCCTGTGACTGCTGGAGTGGTCCTGTCTGTCCCTTCCTACAACGGACTTTCTGATTCTCAGGAAGAAGCTGGTCTGGCAGAGCCCAGCACTGTCCGAAACCCAGAGAGAAGGAAAAGGGTGCCTGAAGGGCCCAGCATGGAGCCCTGGAGCACAGAGTCCTGTTTGTGATGATGGCCATTCCACGTAGGATGTGCATAGTCTGGGGAAGGATTGCTGTTGGATATGAGATGGGAGTTGAGGCTCTACTGCTGACTGCTTTGAAGTGAATGGCAGTGTGAGAAACAGTTCCTTACTGTCCCACGTGAAGTTTAGTGTGCTGTCAAGTGCATGGTTGCCATTTTGGATTTCTGGGTGGATAGGTGATAGGTGGTTCAAAAGAATGTGCAAGATATTTCCGGGGGCTGGGCGGGAGGGCGGGGGGAAGAGGAGTCCCTTGAACGAGCATTCTAGTGATGAGAGGGATGTTGAATTCATGTTATATCTCACTTGTGTGTGACACTGACTCTCTGGTGTGTTCAGTGCCAGTTGTGTGATGGTGTCAAGATGGAAGCAAGAGAATAATGAAGGGATACTGCAAGCGAGAAGAGAGAAATTAGTACTATCAAGGTTCAACATGGCAGACATTCTCAGAAAGGGGAATCAGATAAGTTTTAAAAAAGGAGCACACACAAGATAAATATCAGCTTTGTGTCAAATTTTTCTTTCCTGGAAGATGAGGAAAGATTCAAAGCAGTATAGGGAGTTTACTGTCTCCCCATCATTACAGAGTGGAGGTGAATGCAAGCCCGAGTGGGATTTAAAAGGCTGTGTTTGCTCTTCACCATTTGCTTTTATGCAAGAGATGGAATCGAGGCCCAGGGTTGGCTCTGTACTTGAGTCAGTAGTAGATTTGGTGGGGCCAAGCTGTCATCTTTAATGAGGACTTGGAGAACGGTGATGTGCCTGTTTAAGTTGGCAAACATAGGATCTCAAACGAAGTGATGTCTTTATTAACCTCTCATGTCTGCCTTTTCTTTTTAGAATAATGAAGAAGGTTGTAGGAAACCGATCTGGCTGCCCGACTGTAGGAGATAGAATCGTGGAGCTCATTTATATTGATATTGTCGGACTCGCCCAGTTCAAGAAAACCCTTGGTCCATCTTGGGTTCATTATCAGTAAGTGCTTACAAACTGTTCTTAAGTTTTCAGCTCCCATTTTGTTCTTTTAACAAGGGCTGGGTGATTGCAAGCAGAGAAAAAGCTTACCAAATGTCATCTTTTCAACTGTACAGAGGGTGTTTATCATTCCTAATTGAAATTCAGATTCTTTACAACGACTTTCTACTTTCTAGGGCCATTTGTTATTTTCATCGATTTCTTGAAAATAGAAAGCAGGTGTCCAACCTCCTTTTTACCCTCTCTACTACTTAACATTCCTCTCTGTTTGCCTACAGCCGCCTCATGTGCTTAATCAAATAGAGATTCTGATAAAATATGGCTGTGTCATTCGTAGGATCCTTAGATGGGAAACGATGACTTTTCTCTGCTAACTTTTCCTTCATTAGTATTCTCCTTCTTGGAGAGGAAAGCTGGGCTACTGTGTCTGCATTCTGGGGTCATGTGCTTAATATAAACCCATTCATAGCAGAACTCTGGTACATGCATGCTGTGACTTAGTTGAATAATTGATCCTTTACTTGGGATTGGGTTTGGGACTACGTTTGGGTCCTTGCACAGATTTTACATAGTATACACATAAAGCACTAAATGACAACGACATCATGAGAGGTCCTGAGTTTTTAATCTTCCAGCAGCTGGTTTGATGCTACTGTCTTCAGTGATGCTGAGCACTAGCAAGCATGTTTAAGAAAATGAGAGAAGCTCGGAGTCGGGACCTTCAGCAGGCTAATGTGTAAATCTAAAATTTAATAATGATGTTTTTAAATGTTTATTTGAAAGGAAAAGTTACAGGGGGAGAGAAAGGCTTCAATTCTCTGGTTGACTCCACAAACGACCACTGGGGCTGAGTAAGGTGAAGAGAGAAATTGTGAAGTCTACCCAGGTCTCCCACAAGGAAGGCAAGAGCCCACTTAGGCCGACTTCTGCTGGTTCCCCAGGTGCAGTAACAGGGCCCTGAACCAGAAGCAAAGTAGCCACACTTGAACTGCCACTCACATGGGACGCCAGCATCATAGGCTGTGGCTTAACCTCTTGTGTTTTAGTGGCGACTCCTAATCATGATTTTTTTTTAAGTTTTATTTCCAATAAAAACTGGAAAGGCAGATTTACCAAGAGAAGGAGCAGAAGAAAGATCTTCCATCTGCTGTTTCATTTCCCAAATTGCCACAGTGGCCGGAGATTAGCAGATTCAAAGCCAGGAGCCAGGGTCATCCTTGGAGTCCCCATGTGGGTATGGGGACCCAAGGGCTTGAGCCATTCTTTGCTGCTTTACCAAACCGGAAGCAGGGAGCTGAATCAAAAGTAGAGCAGCTGCAACACGAACCAGCTCCCATAAAGGATTCTGGTATTTGCAGATGAAGGAGTAGCTAGTTAAACCATCATACTGGCCCTAGTAATGATACTTTCTAATTTTATTTATTATTTGTGTGATTTTAATTTATGTACTGGAAAGGCAGATTTAAGGGAGAAGGAGACGCAGAGAGAAAGATTATCTATCTGCTGGTTCACTCCCCAAGTGGCCACAATGGCCGGAGCCAAGCCAGCAGGAGCTTCCTCTGGATCTCCCACATGGGTGCAGGGTCCCAAGGCTTTGGCCTGTCCTCAACTGCTTTTCCAGGCCATAAGCAGGAAGCTGGATGGGGAAATGGAGCATCCAGGACAAGAACTGGGGCCCATTTGGGATCCCAGTATGTGCAAGGCTAGGATTTTAGCCACTAGGCTACTGTGCCAGACCCTATACTTTTTATTTCTTAGAGGTTTATTTATATTTATTGGAAAGGCAGATTTACAGAGAGAAGGACATAACTGAAAGATCCTCCATCTGTTGATTCACTCCCGAAATGGTTGCAACAGCCAGAACTGAGTCTATCCAAAGCCAGAAGTCAGAAGCTTCGTCTGGGTCTCCCATGCAGGTGCAGAATCCAAGCTTTGGGCCATCTACCACTCCTTTTCCAGGCCACAAGCAGAGAGCTGTTCAACTGGAATACAAATCAGCAGCTACATGGGACACTGGCACTCGGAGGATTAGCCAGCACCCTGGCCCAAATAATTGTGCTTTTTAAAAAACTGTTGTGTCATCTTGTTTCGGTTAGCCTTTGTTTATTGGAATTGATAGTGGCTTTTCCCAGGGGCCTAGAAAACATTATTTTCAAGGTGAGACCATCTAAACAAAGAGCATATTTTAACGTAAAACATAAACGGATACACACAGACCCATTGATCTGATGGGCTGAGTTACTGTTTGCAACAACTTCCTAAGTGAGCTCTCACGCTGCTTCTCATGCTCTCACTCTGTGACTTTCCAGTAAATAAATCTTTTTAAAAATCTATTCAGCATCTTAAAACCACAAGTGCAGTGGGAGGAGGAAATACCCATAGTCTGAATTCTCTGAGATCTATTTTCAGCAGCCAGAATTTTCTCACTTGGCAGTGAGCAACTCATAGCTCAAGAAAAAGCATGAAAGACATTGATGTGATAAGGACTATGCTGTTTTCCTTTGGTTGTAGTTTCATAAGAGAAGCCGACTTCAAGATCCGTCTCACACCAGGATAACAATCTCCTTCTGACCTTAGACTTTTTTTTCCCCTGTGCTTGATTTGCCATTGCCTTTAAATCTTCATGAACCATGAGCTATCGTGTTTGTTCTGAGCCATGTAGAAGGAAACTATCTTTCTTCTTGGCTAATAAGCCATATCAAAAACATTTTTTTTTTTAGTTTCACCACTAAAGAATAACGGAGCTGTTTTCTGGCATTTTGTAAATGGCAGGCACTTGAGTAGTGTACAAAGGTAGCTGGGCATTACGGACCTTCCGGTAGTCTTGTATCCTCACCGTTCTGGCTGTTTGGATTGAGGAAATAATCTCAGTGGTAGTGTTTAGGTCAATTAAAGAGAACATGGTCATGATTAAAGCAGTCACTGTTGACATGTATTTGATTCTTGTTGAAAGCAAAGGCTCTGCAAGAATTTCCTGTTAGTCTGCCTTTCTTGGCTAAATGTCCTACCGTAGTAGAATTAGCTGGCACAAGGTCTGTTGGTGCTGCAGCCCTGCTGTCTTTGTGCTGGGATGAAGCCAAGACAAGGCCAAGGAACCCATCTACAAAGTTTCAAGCTAATTTTTTTGCCTTGGGAAATTAGAAGTTGTTGGGGCTGAGGTCATCGTGTAGAAGGCTAGGCCTCCAACCATGGTGCTGGGGTCCCATATGGGCACTGATTCCTGTCCCAGCAGCACCACTTCTGATCCAGCTCCCTGCTTAGGACCTAGAAAAGCAGCAGAGTATGGCTCAAATCCTTGGGCTTCTTCACCCATGTGGGAGACCTAGAAAAACCTCCAGGCTCCTGGCTTCAGAAGCGCTCAGTTCTGGCTGTTGCAGCCATTTTGGAAGTGAATTAGTGGGTTGAAGATTCTTTTTCTCTTCTTTCCTTCTCTTCCACTCTAGCTCTCTTTCTTACATATTAAATTCATGGGACAAGCTTTTTATAACAAAGCTTATAAATTTCATAATTTTTACACCAAAATAAGGTGTTTACTTTTAAATAACGTGTTTATTTTTAAAGTTTGACTTGCTTGTTTCATTGATTTGAGAAACAATGAAACAAATTTTCCCATCCAGTAGTTCATTCTCCAAATGCCTGCAAAGGCCAAAGTCAGAAGTTGGCATCTTAGTCCAGATCTTCCACATGTGCCTGGGACCCAACTGGCTGAGCCATTACCTGTGGCCTCTCAGAATAGGGAAAGGAGCTGGGGTTAAACCTAGGCCCTCAGATCTGGGCATCTTAATCACAGTATTAAATCTATGCCCCAGATTTCTCAATTTGATTTTCCATGAACATTTTTAAGTATTGTTATATTTTAAGAAGTAATAATTTTCAGACATATCGTGTTTGACATCCAACTTCAAACTATGAAGTAGGTTCTGCCTGAGGGCCTGTGAGCCCTGGTCTTGAGACTGTGTTCCTGCCAGCAGACAGAATGTTCTGGGAGTCCCCATACCAGAAAGGCCAGTTGCTTTGAGCATCCAGGCAGATGTCTTCATAAGTCAGGAGTCGGCTTCTGCTGCTCCAAAAACAAAGAAGGTGTTACAGGGGCAGCCTCAAAATTGACAGCCAAACCCAGCTCTGAAACAGGAAGAAAGCAAGAATAGGGAAATGAACGTTAGGCATCCTATGTCCCAGACAGGGGTTTGAAAAACAAACCTTTGATTAACTAGAAAAGAAACAGTTGCTAAGCCAACACCTCAAATGAAAGGACATAGAGTAGGTTTCTTGCAGAGATCCTCTCATTAGCATTGTCATCCACCCAGAATCCACACCCCATCACTTCCATCTGGTACTCTGCACAAACCTGGGCTCAGGAGCTGGGCCCCATGCTGGCAGCTATGTTGGTTAGAGTTTACTGTCCATGTAAAATTGAAAACCAAAAAATGAGTGAAAACTATGGTTCTGGTCACTATAGACGTGGTCACTTGCAAGCATATGGACAAAGCCTTTATGGCTAGGCTTCTTGGGGCCAGGACAGCCCTTTTCTCCATTGTATGCCTCTCTATAGAGCACACTGCCAAATCCTTGACTTGGTGAATCCCAACTAGCAGGAGCCAAGCCATGTCCAAGGGTGAGTGTTTTGCTTTTCTGTCTTTCCTTCCACAGTGACCTTGTACACATCCCAGCTTTTACTAATCGTCCTTCTCCAGAGAGGATATATTGGTTCAACCAGTTCTTTTCACATCCTACTTTTAAAATAAAACATATAAGCTGAGAAAAGGGAACAGGGGCAGACATTGTAGCACAACAGATGAAGCCATCACTTGGGATACCTGTATCCCACAGTGGAAGAATACTCAAATCCAAGCTTCTGTACTTCCAATCCAGCTCTCAGCTAATGCAGTGAATGATGAACCAAGGACTGGGGCATCTGCCACCCCTTTGGGAGACCTGGATTAGAGCTACTGACTCCCAGCTTCAACCTGGCTCAACCACAACTGTTGCAGGCATTTGAGGAGTGAATCGGTGAATGGACCGTCTCTATCTCCCATTTTGTTGCTGTGCCTTTCAAATAAATTAATAAATTTTAAAGGAATGTTTATTAAGGAGTAGGTGATGTTTTGAACTCTTCTGAGAGCAGGGACATCAGGCATCATAGAGCTCCTTGGATCACTCACAATTTTTTTTTGACTGCAGACTCCCATTTCTGTGCATTTCTATTGGTTGTCAGGCTGAAGCTGTGTCCTTAACAGATGTTGCAGAAGTTGCCACCATGACCAGAGTGTATTCACTAAGAGCCACGCAAGGAAATTGTTTCTGCTGTCAGTTTTGTCTTTCACTGTTAGCATCTTGGCTTTATCTCTCTCTTCCTTCCCTGGATGAATGGAGATGATCTCGGATAAGAAAATTAACACACACACATATTACAATTTTGATTATACTTCTCAGACAACCCAGTCCGGATGTTTAGACTTGTGAGTTTTTTTGTTTTGTTTTGTTTTGTTTTGTGTTTTTGGTTTTTTTTAAGGGGAGAGTAAAAAGCACGATGAATGTTGGAGAACGGGAGGGTGACACTGAAGTAGATCCTGAAAGGCTGCTACTGTCCATCTTCTGATTCAAGGGCAAAGGCTGTACTTTGCATGCTTATGAGCCCAGTGAAAGAAAGTTGTATAACCACAGCATCAGAGCTGCCTTCATTGGCCACCAGTGTATCTACTAGGCATCAGCATGAATTGGTGCGACCAAGATCATTGCATTTTGTCTCAGTGTGCTTTCCTTTCTCCTGGTTGATGGCTCTTGGTACACTTTGAGGATTTGTTTTTGTTGTTGTTGTTTTTCTGTCTGCAGGACCAGCCAGCACATGCTTTAGAATTTGCAAGCCATGCTGCTGGGACAATCAGTTTCACTCTCAGCTGTGCAGTCATCCATTGATGGTGCAACAGCAACGGGGCATGGCTACCCTCAGATGCATTTATTTGTTTTAAATGTGTGCTTATTTGAAAGAGCAGCAGAAAAAGAAATCAACCATCTGCTAGCTTACTTGCCAGTGCCCACAAAAGGCAGGAATGGACCACACCGAAACCAGAAGCTCAGAACTCTAGAGCCTGTGGTTGTCCCAGTTGGATGGCGGGGACTCACGTGTCTGAGCCATCCTCTGCTGCCTTTCAAGGTGCATAGGCAGGAAGCTGGATTAGAAGTGCAAAAGCCACGACTAGAACTGGCACTCTGACAGGAGAGAGAGGCATCCCAAGGGAGACTTAACTCTTTCACCACCCCTAGCTTTTGTTTTGAATTTAGAAATCCAAATTTTAGGTAATTTTTACATTTCACAAAACACTTGTTTTTCTTAACAGTGTAGAGATTATTCTGAGCTGACAGATTATCCACAAAAAGATGTCAGAACCCATGTGACCGCCTCTATTGTCAGACATTGGTAGAAAAAACAGAGGAAGCAGCTTCTTTAAATGCTAAGAAAAAAGCAGGGAGGCTCTGTTATTATCCAGCTGTAAAAATCTGAAGTGCTTAGTCCATTTTGTTTGGGTATAACAGATTGCTTTAGCCCTGGTGATGGATAATGAAAAGAAATTCATTTCTAATGGTACTAGAGGCTGAGAAGTCCAAGATCAAAGGTCTGTGTCTGATCGTAAGAGCACAGGCATCAACTGGTTGAACATGGCAGGTGTACCAGCTCAAATCTGCCTCTTCTTAGACAGCCACTAGTCGCACTCTGAGGAGCCTCCCTCACATAACCTCATCGAATGCTAATGATTTTCAAGGCTGCTCCTTGAAATACTATCCCCCCATAAGAGTTTTGGGATTAAGTTTTAAACACAAGCTTTAGGGAAATTTGATCAAACCAGAGTGTAAACTTCACCAAAACCCAAGGCTCTCATTAACTGCTGTGAATGTCAGATGATGACTTTCAGAGATAGTACAGCTCCTGTGCTGTGAGCAAGAGCCCTGTGGAGATGGCAGGTTTTGGTTTCTTAAGTAACTGTCGATCAGGCACTTGCTCTCTCAGCTCAGTCCTGGCTTGGTGCAAAGTGCTCAGCTGTGAACGTGGCATCCCTAAGTAGCAGCATTCAGGAAATTGCTTCTTGGACTTCTCTTTCAGCAATCCTCTATGTCCACGCATCTGGAGCCGATTGTGTACTGTGTGACATGGCTCTGGCTGTGCCGTCACACGTGGAGGCATTTGGTGTACAAGATACTCTAACACCTCCACAGTCTTGCCCCGTAACATTTCTGATGAAGAATGATCATCTGTTTTTAGTGGATCCTGAAGTACAGGCTGAAAAGCTTGGCTTTGAACTGTACCCAAGTGCTTGCTTCTTTCTTTCAGGTGCATGCTCAGAGTCCTGGATTCCTTTGGTACTGAACCAGAGTTCAATCACGCTAATTACGCCCAGTCTAAAGGCCACAAGACCCCCTGGGGAAAGTGGAATCTGAACCCTCAGCAGTTTTACACCATGTTCCGTGAGTACCTGTTGCTTCTGCATCCCAGGGTGCTTCTGCCTGTGGATGGGAGGGCTCACGCCCCTGGCCATCTATGGTGGTTCCATGCCCAGGAACCTATGCTACATGAGTGTCTCTTCTAGGGCAGTAGCTGAGGGTTTTCATTTTCATTTTAATTGGAATTGAAAAACTTTAGAAGTAGTAGTGAAGAGCGTTGGAGTGTTCTGGAGAAAAGATGTTAAGTCTGAATACCATTGGGAATACATTTGGGGCAAGACCCGTTGGTTGACAAGTGCTCAGCTCAGATGCTGGTTAGGTCCCTGCATTATTTAAAGACAGAGGTCTGCCTTGTGAATTCCTTTTCCAAGCAGCTAAACCTTGATCAGTTAAGCATTAAACTCTCCAAAGTTTGTAGTGACTTGTTGTCATTTGTGAACAACAGTTTTTGTTTTATTCTGCTGTGTTCCATGGTGGTGCAGAGCTGTAAAGCTCTAAGGAGTTCTCTCTCCTGCCCCAAGCCAGGCAGCTAAGTGAGTAACTGTGAACTCTGAGGCCGAACTACTTTGAATAGTGTTTGTGGCTCAAATGAATTTACCATTTAAGTCAGTAGACCTTGGAGACGAGGTCAGTCAACTCTAGAAATGAAAGTTTATGCAAAGTCTAAACATCTTACATTGGAGAATCCCTGTTCTCCAAAGTTACCAGCATAACGTTAATGCAGGGGTTTCCGGTGTCCACCCTGAGATGTGAGTCTGTGTACTTTCTTAAGATCCAAGGGACCCTGTCCTTTCCTCTCTTGTGGTTGCCCCTTATCTCCCTTGTGGTTGTCCCTTCAAAGGTGCCCTTTTTTCTCAGATTCACGTTATTTAACAGTGTGCATGCTAGACAAATGCCTGAGTGTCAGATACCAGGGAGAGAATTAAGGAGGAGGACAGTTAATGAGGGGAGTAATTTAAAAAAAAAAAACAAAAACTTCAAGCTTAAGCGTAGTCTCTGGCCCAGAATGCTGAGAGCACGCTTTGTAATATTGAGAACAGTCATGTTCCTGGAGCTCCATCACTCTGTCATTGCTCCCCGTCTGTGGGACACAGATCAGGCGCCAAGCTAATATTCGGCCCATTCGGTAACAGATGGAAGCCTGCATGATGAGGTGTGGTTGGAGTTAGCCCGTGGTCTGACCTTGCTGTGTCATTTTGAAAGACTGGGATTAGGTGGCCTATGTGTTATGAACACAGAGTGGCTTGTGTTATGTTAAGTGGAATGGAGTGATATTGGTGGTGACTGTAGCCTCTCCACACTGCCTATTCGGTGTAGATGCAGGTGTCCCCCCGTTTGCAAGGGGAATAGAGGGGCAAGGACTGGCCAGCAAGTGCAGAGTACTCTTCAGGAATGTGGGATTCAGAGTCCCCCTAACCGATTGTGTTCTCCACGATGAAGGGTTTCCCTTCTTTCGGACATAACTGAAAGAAATGCATAGCTTACAATGCAATTGAAGGTCAAGCCATAAACTGACCTCTGTTTACCTGGGGAGAGGTTTGCTACCTGTGACTCAGAAGTCAGCAAGGGGGCTGACCTTGAGCCCAGCAATTACAAGTTAACTAAGTGCCCTCTGTGAGAGTAGCTGGTTTTCCATCCTGGCCCCCTTCCAGTTGCAGCATCCTGCTCAGGTGCACCCTGCAGTAGTGGCTCAGGCAATTGGATCCCTGCCTGCCATCCGCGGGGAGACCTGTAAGCGTCCCCAGCTTCTGCCTGACCCAGACCGGGTCACTGCAGGCACTTGGAGACTAAACCAGAAGACAGGTACTCTGTTTCTCTGTCTCTCCCATTCTCAAAAATAAAGGAAGAATTCATCAGGAATCAGACATAAAACTGATAACATTTGCTGATTTTTTTTTTAAGAGAACCTTATGGCAAAACAACAGCAACTAGTAACACTATGAGTGAAAGCAACCAGAATGTTTTGACATTTTCCTTCATAGTGTGAATTATTTATATTGTCACTTAAAAACTACTGGAGTTAGGGACCAAGATTTCTGGTATAGAAGAGATGGAGAGTACTTAAAGAATGTCAGGAAAACCCATTTGTCCATCAGTTTGACCGGGAAACATCTGGAAAAAAATTATACCTTATTCTTGACTGAAACAGTGCGTGTCCTTAGCACTCTGGGTGTCTTGATGCCTTTGCCCACTGCAGAGAACCATTTCCTTGGCAGCCAGTGCCAGATCTGAGGCAGGAAACATTCGGGATGGGATGTCTTATGTCAAAAGGCAAGGATGCCAAGAAGAATCACTGTGATAGAATCAGACCCAGGATCCAAAAATAGGGCGGTGGGAGCATCAAAACACTGAAGAGCAGCAGATGGAGGTTAAGGCAGTAAGAAAGAATTCACAGGCAGTAAGAAAGAATTGTGGGCTAAACAGGTAGCCCATAAAATATACTGAGTCACCTTTGCAGGTGGCTGGGCCACCAACTCATGACACAGAAAAATAAAGAAGACAGCCTTCATCTTGAACTCTCAGTGCAAATGGTAGTTGAAGATAATCAAATGGTTGATGAGAAAAAACTGTTACCCATGGAGAAATCACGACTAATAAATGCAAACAGAGCAAGAATGAGAAATGGAACCTCTGAAATGAACACAGCAGGGCATGAAGGCAGTCATTGGCAGTGGTTAGTAAATGCGGTGGAGTCACAAGTTGATGGAAAAAATCCCCAGGGGTCTTGAAGGGAGGAAAGATGGAAATGAGTAGGGAAATGAAGCAGTTAGATACCTGGTACAAACATCTGATGTGGAGAATTTGTGACAGAATCGCCTATACCCTGCTTTGCAGAGGCTCCCCACCAAGACCCTGGGTATGTCCCTGGAGAAAGCCCTTCCTGCCCAGTGGCAAAGGAGAGGGCTCCAGACCAGCACTTGGAGTCCTGTGCTCCCTTGCCTAGTATGCCTACTAAATTTGGCTGTTCTTGGTTGTCTCAGGGGAGGGCAATGCCCTTGAATATAAGGAGTGAGTGTCAAAAGACACTCCTTGTCAATTTCTTTGTTTTAAAGAAGTGAGTATACCAGTTCTCGATATTTTTAGAGGTTTTCAGAAAGTACATGGAAAATGGGTAAGTTAAAAAAACTACGCATGGATTTCAGATTTGGGGGGAGGGGTCTAGGGGTCAGAATAAACTGATTGCTTTCCCAGGAAATTTTTGAATTACTCATGTGTTGGCTAACAGTAGTCTGTATATGAAGCCATTTCAAAATGTTTGCAGAAAATGGAATTGAGATTCCTTCTTTAGTTATAAATAGTTTTGAAATTGGGTATATTTTTTCCTTGTACACATCTTCCATGAACGTTTTGAAAATCCATGGTGTGCATTCCAAAAAAAATCACACCAAATAAGCTTATTTTTCTATCCTATTTTTCACCAACTTTTTGAAATGCACTAGTTTAACTGAAGTAATAATCAACACATGTGTTTAGAGTACCTTTAGATAGGGTGCGGAGAAGTTCATTAATAGAGTGCCAACCACAAAAAGAACGCTTCGCTCTGGTCAGCTGAAATCATCAGGTACCTGGTGCCTAGGGATCGAGCCCAAGTGCAGCTGACACTGCCCGGAAGGAGAGAAACAAAAATCCAGTACTGGACCTGCATTTTTAGAAGTCATAGAATGAAATAACTTAGAGCAGAACCTCTTTCCTTTCTTACATAATCCTCGTTCATTTCTCATGTGACAGCTTCCCCTCCTTCTCTGTGTTGTTTCGTTCATGGAGTCTCTGCAAGTTAAGAAGCCTTGTTTTTCTGCAGTGTTGGATCCCCCATCTGGGCAGTTCCCTGGAACTGTCTTCTCAGTATTTCCTGGGCATGGTTGGATGTGCCGGCATGGATAATTATTCATATCTGCAAACTTCCAAACTGCCGGAGGCATGGAGGTCAGACACATTAAGGCTGTTGGATTACATTTAGAGGGTTTTAAAAATACACATATGTTAATTATATATATATATGTATATACATACATATATATAATTTGAAAGGCAGAGAAGGAGGGAGAAAGAGAGAGAGAGGAAGAGAGATATTCCATCCACTGGTTGACTCCCAAATAGCCGCATGACCAGAGCAGGGCCAGAACTCCATCCATGTCTTCCACGTGGGTAGCAAAGACCCAAGTACTTGAAATACCTTATACCACTTTCCAATTTATGTCAGCAGGGAATAGATTGAAAGTAGAGCAACCAGTTTTCAATGCAACACTGGGATCTTGGTATCTCAGGTTAGCGACTGAACTTGCTACTCAACACAAGTCACTGACTTCATCAGTGGAATGATGACTTTTTCCTGGAAGCTGTTCCTGCTGAGCCCTGGCTCCTGCTTTGTTCTCTTGTTCGTTTACACACATGGCTTCAGACCTAGAGGCTAAGGCCTTCTGAAAGCCAGTTGAGCCAGTTCAAGGAAGCCCAGCTTGTCCAAGCTATCCGCATCAAAGGCTGTGGTGCCTTCCTTTTGTCTATGTGTCATGTCTCAAGCACCAAGGCTTGGAGTCCCCTTTCTCTCCTCCACCTCCTGGCCCCAGACTCTCACTAGCAGGTGTCTCTTTCAGGTTGCATTCATAGCAGTGTTACTATTTTCTGTAAGACTGTTTCAGTGGCCACCTCTGTCTTTCCAATTATACTGTAAGAATGGTAGCCCTCTTAGAAAACCAGTGAAACTCTTCCTCCAGCAGAGGTGGCTCCCTGTTGTAGCCATGATAGCTCCTGCACATGTAAGTTTACACATGGTTGTAGCACACCTGAAAATATTGAATATGTCCCAACCCCCTTACCTGTGGTGTCTTAACTCATTTCTAGTTTTGCTAGAGTTTGAAAGCCATCATTTTCAGAGCTGATTCTGAATCCACTGAGGGGCTGTTTCTTTTGAATATGCTTTTGTGGTTTCTGGTAAGGGATTAACTTCCATGTTTTGTTCTCTGTGCTTGCCATGGACTTGGCCTGGCCTGGCTCTGGGTCTCTGAGTCATTTCATTCTCTGCATTC